TAGTGATACCCACAGTTGGGCCTTCAAAGCCCACAAGACGAGAATCTGGTACCTTTAGGGATTTCTCTTCAAAATTTCTGACAAACACCCCTTTCATTTTTATATGGGGGTACCCAAGGGTATGCATGTGGCTGGAACCTACATGTAGGTTTACAGCAGGAGACATCCCATTTTTGGGCACACAAAAGGTTTGAAAGTGGAAAGTATTCAACTTGTCCTGGAAGTTATTTTTAATAACACCCTTTAATTGATTCAGACAATTGCTTCATATCTGATGATCCGCTACTTTGATTGTCATATTGCAGGTGTTCGCAGTTGCAAAATATTTCATTGGATAGTGAGGGTGGTAACTCGTCAACATCTTCCAACATTATGTGCAAAGCTGAGTCCTGGAGATAAGATTTTGCTCATTTTGATGAGGCTGTGATAAGGGTTACAAAACAAGGATTTAGCGTACAAATGATATGTTACCCGGAAAAAAATATTTGATTTACACCATTTCAAATGGAGACGATTGTGGCTACATTATTGTTAAACACTATTGAAGTAATAATAGTCGTACATATTTTTCAGAATTGACATCAGTGAAGACCAAGCTTCAAAAATTATTAAGCTTGGTGCAGCAGCAATGGCAAATGCTCTGAGGTTCCTCATTGTGTGGCCTCAAAAGGGTGCAATCATGAGGAATGTACTAAAGACATTGAAGAGGACAAGGAGTAACAAGAACACACATGTAATTATTTACTGTTCAGATATTTCTATCTCATGCCCTACCAATTTACTGGCACATAACAAAACTTATTCGAATTATAAGCACCATGGTGGCCTCATGGTTAGTGCGCTCGTCTCCGGATCGAGCGGTCCGGGTTCGAGCCCTGGCCGGGGATATTGTGTTGTGTTCTTGGGCANTAGTGATACCCACAGTTGGGCCTTCAAAGCCCACAAGACGAGAATCTGGTACCTTTAGGGATTTCTCTTCAAAATTTCTGACAAACACCCCTTTCATTTTTATATGGGGGTACCCAAGGGTATGCATGTGGCTGGAACCTACATGTAGGTTTACAGCAGGAGACATCCCATTTTTGGGCACACAAAAGGTTTGAAAGTGGAAAGTATTCAACTTGTCCTGGAAGTTATTTTTAATAACACCCTTTAATTGATTCAGACAATTGCTTCATATCTGATGATCCGCTACTTTGATTGTCATATTGCAGGTGTTCGCAGTTGCAAAATATTTCATTGGATAGTGAGGGTGGTAACTCGTCAACATCTTCCAACATTATGTGCAAAGCTGAGTCCTGGAGATAAGATTTTGCTCATTTTGATGAGGCTGTGATAAGGGTTACAAAACAAGGATTTAGCGTACAAATGATATGTTACCCGGAAAAAAATATTTGATTTTCACCATTTCAAATGGAGATGATTGTGGCTACATTATTGTTAAACACTATTGAAGTAATAATAGTCGTACATATTTTTTCAGAATTGACATCAGTGAAGATCAAACTTCAACAATTATTAAGCTTGGTGTAGCAGCAATGGCAAATGCTCTGAGGTTCCTCATTGCGTGGCCTCAAAAGGGTGCAATCATGAGGAATGCACTAAAGACAATGAAGAGGACAAGGAGTTACAAGAACACACATGCAATTATTGACTGTTCAGAGATTTTTATCTCATGCCCTACCAATTTACTGTTACGTAACGTAACTTATTCAAATTATAAGCACCACAATACAATAAAGGCGTTGATTGGTACATGTATCACTCCCATCAACTGCAATTTCTTTTCTCTCAAAATGTTGGGGTGGGAGGGTTTCAGATAAGGAACTTACCATTCACAGTGGCTTTCTAGACCAACTGGAACATGTTGGTTAGTTAAAAATTTATGTTCTTTTCAGAACAGAGTAGTTTATTTATCAAATATGCTGTCCTGAAGTGCTCATTTTATTGATTTGGTTAATTTGCTTTGTTTTAAACTGTAAATTGCACATCAGTCTGTTATGAAGCATGTATGAGTGGTGTCAGAGCATAAGGAAATTTTAAGGGCCCATTAACCAATTCATACCCCCGCTCTTGCAGGTTGAAAACGAGGTGAAATTTCGCTCTCATCAGCCTGAGCACGCAAAATTTAAACAATTCAAAAACTTTCAAATTTGGTTACATTTTAGACGTTTTTTCTTTGGGTGTCACAAAATTCAAAGTAACAAAGTACAAGCAAAAACAACCTAAAAGAAAAACAGAAAAACAAACGCAAAAAAAAAAAAAAGAAAAATCATCTTTATGTGGCTTTTGTGTGCTTCGTTTGATCCCATTGAGCTGCTGGTAGTGTAAACTGCATATGCACTGATAGGGTAACTTCCAATAGATATCGCAGGCACTTCCAGTTTCTTTAAATTCTAAAGGAAATGTGGTTTCCATTAAATCCAGCCTTTTTTGACGAGTTCCGATTGAAGTCAGTCTTGGAAACATAGCTATGCATTCCTTTTGTAAAATCATACTTTTCCCCGAAAATCATGTATTTTTAATGTTTTAAAATTCTGACGTTTTAGAAATGAAACAAAATAGCATAGCATAATAGAGATTAAAGTTAAAATAATAAATCAACCCAATAAAGTAATATGCTTGGGAACCTTAACAATTTTTCAGATTGAGTCACATGACCATAGGCATGGCCTGATGATGTCATCACTGGTGTTACTGATGATGGAAAAGTTTAAACACAAAAGTTTAAAATTACAGGGTTATGAGAGAATACATTTTCTTAGCAATGGCTTAAAAAGATCAGTTAACGAAGCCTTAAGGACGTTCACGCTAATTGTTTCTACACATCCCTACTGGGCACGTAAATTCAAACACTGTGTCAAGCATCAAAGTGCACGCTAAGTAATAAAATGAACAATGATAGGGCAGATGACCATTGCTATAACATTGCCTGGATTTAATGATCTTGGAAGTTCGGTCACCCCTATTTGCCTTTTGATGGATCATTTTCTCTACCAATTTTCTACGTTTAGCGAAAAATTGAAGAAAATTTATAAATTAGAAGTTTGAATTTTTTGAAAAATGCACAATCGAATTCCGTTATTTTTAGCTCTGCGTTTATCTCTGTGGTGGTTTCAAATGCCTCTTGTAGAGTTAAGTTTTGTGAAAACGTTAGCAACATTTGGAATTATTTATGCAAAAGACCCACTTCCACAAAATATGACTAAGATCGTTTGCCACCGTTGACTCACCTTCGATATCTTTAACTATAAATCTCTGAGGACCATGCTGAATTACGTGTGCCAGTTTTTCAAAATCAGGGTAGTTTTCCACACGCTTTAACTCTGAAACGAAGTCGGTGACTCCCAATTTTTTTTTTGCATTTCTGACACAAGTAACTCATTATCTGACTGCGGTGAAAATTTTAAAAAACTCTATTGACTGGAAGATTTTAGCAGGAACGGCCTTAAGGAAAACATCTCTTGGAGATTAGGGTTTTCCAATTTTTATCATTTTCATATCACTTTCAAGTTAATTAATCGTCTGTCAGTTTTTAGGGTATTCCAAAAAGAGTTTTAAAATCAGTACTTATTTGCCCACGATTTTGTTCAAAACAAGGAAGTTAATTTTATACATCATTTTCACTTTCACAAGGTCATGGCTGACAGGAGATTCCTGATCAAGGATAAACTTTGATGTAAACGTGCTAACCTTGTCATTTCAGCTTTTACTAAAGGAAAAAACCAGCTGAAGAGAACAAAAGTACTAACATCAAGGCAAATAGCCAATGTCAGAATCCATGTAAGAAATACCAGCTTCTCTTTAGTTTACATAGTTTAACTGTGTGCCATTTTGGAGTTAAGATCAGTAATTTCATGCATGGGAGGTTCAGTAGTGGGTCTTCAGCACTTGCTCCCAGCAGTAGAAAATTGAAAGATCTGCTAAAAACAAACACTTATAGTCTGTCTACTGCCTCATATGTCTGGATGCAGAATCATGAACGGCAACATATTTCGGCAAAAAAAAATTTGTATTAGAACTGATTCAAATAACATACAGCAGTTTTCCAGAAGTTGGGATCGAAATAAATTCGCTCAACAGGCACACCAGCTATTGCGTAGATGACAAAGTCACACCATTTGGCTTCACTTACTGCCATCTGACCTTGGACTTGAAAATAGTGCTTGTGTGTGTGTTTGAGTGTCAAAGTTCCTGTTCTTCACCTACTTTGCTCATAAAATTGTTTGCTGATGCTGCTGCTTCACTGGGTTTTTGTTCCTTGTTGTGTATGGACATTTTACTTCCACAATACCCCATGGGTCTTTTTCCTTGCTAACATAACACACCCTGTCCGGAGTTACAGCTAAAAAGAATCTTCTGGACTAATAAACAGTCCACATTCGTATGTAAAAACATGCTTCCTTTGAGGCAGCCCCTCACAAACTTGCACAGCTGTGCTTTCATTTTTCCTGCCCCATTTCAATATGCGATCTACAAAGGCACTGAGGGCTTTGGCTAAGGGAGATCTTGAGCAACCACCTCAGGTTTAGCTCTTTTGTTCTGCATCTTCAAACAAATTTTCCCAAAGTTAGAAGCAGTCAGTCGAGGGTGTTTCAATTCAAATCACGCTGGAGATTTGGCTTGTTTTTGTGTTTCACACTAAACTTTGTGACATTGATCATACATGTAGGTCACATTGAGTAATTTACCATAATCTAGTAGTTTGGCTGTTGTGTCAGATGATAAAATTTCTACCCATTTTTGTAATTTATCTCCTGTTAGTGTACTGAAGGTACATTTGGATGTCCAAGATGAGGGCCAGTGGAAGCTCTTGGTGCACTAGCCAGTATCCCAAATCTGCTCCTGGAACTGTCTTCTGGTTGTGAATGTTCCTCATCTAAAAGAATGGACAATAACAAATATTTATCATTATTATTATTATTATTATTATTATTATTATTATTATTATAATTGTTATTATAACAGTTACAGTTGTAATTTTTTATAAGCCACTAATAAACATTATACATAATTGCTATTATTATTATTATTATTATTATTATTATTATTATTACCTGGATTAACAATGTAACTTGTGAAATTAATTTTTTGAAATGCAGAATAAAGGATTAGTTTCTCAACTGCATACATTGGTAAGTTGAGTAACCACTACAAGTTGACCAGATTAATTGACCACCATGGTGAAATGAGACATTTTTATATGGAATTTCCAATAGAAAGCTTGGTCAGTGGGCATGAAGAACTCTTGAAATTTCGACTTTCCAGATTTGCTATAAGATCAATCTATTTTGCCAATTCCTAGTCGATTCCCATTTTGTAAAGCTAGTTTTGATTTTCTGTGCAACCATCTCCTTGGATTTAAAGCATGCCAGTAAAGCACAGGTTAAAGCTTAATATTAAAACAAAATTATCACGACCAAACAATGCAAAATATTAAAAATAGGTATTTACCTTCAATTTCGCTGTAGTCTGTCTGGCTGTTTGCTGTACATTTTGCACTCGTCAGCCTCAGCTGACGAGCTGAGCTGTATCAGTTTCTTCGGGATCAAGTCTTGGCAAGGCCTCGCAAAAAAAAGCATTTGACCAGATTTTTGCAAGGTCTAGTTTACTCTGGTTGCACATTTTCGGGATGGAAAAATTATTTGTAATAGATGGTTTTTTGACTGCGTGTTGTCCTTTCATGTGCTTTCCAATCGAAGATCTTGAGCTGGCGAGTTTGTTAACAAGTTGGTAAAGGTGTTGATTGTAAAATCAATATTAGATAATCCATTTCACAAAGACCACATTTAACATCATAAACAACGCACTGTTTGTTAATGACCTTCTATTTTGGTTCACTGGTTTGGGTGATGTTGCCGACTTTCTTGCTCGTGAAAACAGGTTGCAAAGAAACGCAAAAGAATATAACACAGGGGCTGCCATCTTGAATTTGAACACTTTAATACCCTGGAAATGAGTTGAAATTACCCATGATGCAATGCTCTGAGAAACATGCAGTTGATTTCAACGGTCAATCAATTACAAGTGTGAAGATATTCTGACTGTTTAAAGGCAACTAAATCTGGATCTTTTGGCTCTAGGAACAATTCTATGTATCAAGAATCACAAGCCTTCCGGATTAAGACTATATAGTTTTTTGATCATCACTATTGTAATGATATATACTAGAACTTGGGAATACAGTGAAATGTACTAGTATGCTGCAACCAATTTTCAATCTTTGTCTTTCTTCTAGTCCATTTCAGTTCTTATAGCAAGCCTTATTACAATCATAACTTAAACCAAAAAGAATTTCAAACTTGTCATAGAACTTAATCTGAAATCATGTTTCTGTTGTGAGCAGTTGCTTTTAATTTACAAGTGACCTTCAGTGGTAAAACTGAACAAAACGTAAACTTATCTGCTGATTTTAGTCACATGTTGCTGTGTATTTTCGTTCTAGTTATTGAAGCAGAAAAGCTTAAAGTATCCATTCACAAACCGAACTACATCATGTACCGGGTTGAAAAACAAAGTGAAAATCATATGAAGACATGATTGACCATCGCAGTTATAAACACAACTTAAGCAGTTGTGAAATTAAAGCCTGAGAAAAATTCAGGCCTGAACAGGATTCGAACCCATGACCTCAGCGATACCGGTGCAGTGCTCTACCAGCTGAGCTATCAAGCCACTGGGAGCTGGTCATGTTGTGAGTTCGTAATATACCCGTAGATGATGACGAATGCAAGTGACTATATGAAAGAACATATATTTGAACTGCGGAGAAAGATTCAGGCCTGAATTTTTTTCAGGCTTTAATTTTACAACTGCTTATTGTAAGTTGTGTTTATTACTGCAATGATCAATCATGTCTTCATATCTTTCTCCGCAGTTCAAATATATGATCTTTCATATATTCACTTGCATTCGCCATCATTTATGGGTATATTACAAACTCACCACATGACCAGCTCCCAGTGGCTTGATACCTCAGTTGGTAGAGCACTGCACTGGTATCGCAGAGGTCATGGGTTCAAATCCTGTTCAGGCCTGAATTTCTTTCAGGCTTTAATTTCACAACTGCTTAAATTGTGTTTACAACTGCGATGATTAATCATGTCTTCACATCTTTCTCCGCAGTTCAAATATATGATCTTTCGTATATTCACTTGCAAAGTGAAAATCAATTCACAAACATGAGTGATGATACTGTCAGCATTTCCATCATAATCTGAAAATACACAGTTTGTCTTCAAGGCAAAAATTTGAATTTGAATTTGAAGCTTGATCTTTGAAAAATCTCAGTAAGCTTTATACATATGCATGCCATATTAGAAACACCTTCAAATCTACCAAATAAAATAAATTTGTACAGAAATAAGATGTTTCAACTGGTCTTTAATCTGGTGTGGGCTCCTCCTTTGGACACTGGACAAAAATGATATTGGCAAGTTGTTGTAATTCAATGCAATCTCTTTATTTCAATTTCAGTCTCATTAATTATGGACTTTTGACAGGGGCTTTTATGTATTACAGATTAAATATTGGTATTTGATTGTACATGCCACATTTGCAATTTTGTAAAACTCACTGTTAAGTGGCTAATTCTATCTATGTATCTATGTATCTATGTATCTATGTATCTATGTATCTATGTATGTATCTATCTATCTATCTATCTATCTATCTATGTATCTATCTATGTATCTATCTATCTATCTATCTATCTATCTATCTATCTATATGGCTCCCACATGCTCTATTTTATTGCTTTTTATTACCATTTTTAATTTGGTGTGATCTAAATCGGGATCAGTAATCCAAGATCACTCACATTGCAATGATATCAAAATGTAGTTTCCTGGGTACATGGACTATTAATGGGATTTTCATGGGTTGCAGTAGTAATCATTTATCCCATGATATTAACAGGGAGTCAAATTTCATGGACCATAAAAATGCTGTGAAAAGGTAATTAAAGTAGTGAGGAAATTCTCATGGGCCATTAAAAATGGTTTTTGTGGGTCGTGATTTTTGCATCCATTAACATCCTATGAAATAAACATTATGAAAATCTGGTGGCAGGTTTCATGGTTTGTTTTCCAATACCATGAAAATCTCATTAAATCATATTTCATAACCCCATTAAATTTAATGGCATTTTCATAGTTTTTTTAATGTTTTTATTTTCGGAATGGAAATTTCATGGGCCATTAATTGGGAAGTTTTAAGAGGATTTTCGTAGCTTTTTTTAATGCTTTTTCCATGTTTTTTCCATTATGAAAAACCCATTAAAACTGCATGAAAACCTTGTGATTTTCCCATTAAAATTTTCACAAGATTTCAATGAGTTTTGGTTTCAAAGTGTCTTTACCTTATAAAAAATAAATTGAAAAAGTAAGAAACCAATGCAAAGACCATCACTTACATGTAGCAACTGGAAATTAAGAGGCAAATAAAAAGATACTTACTGCCAGTTATTGTGGCAGAAAGGTCCCCCCCCCCCCTCCTGATAGCTTTGTCACCAAGGCACCAAATCTCTGTTGTTTGTTGCCTAGGAATTATGACCCCAGGGAGAGGATAAGGACCTCTCAGTAGCCTGGGGACTACAGGGACTCCTGGAAAGGAGAGAGAGGATTATGACCTCTCAAGACCTGGGAATTAGGACCCCAGAAAGAGGATTAGGACCTCTCTACAGTGCAGTTGTTGTTGCTTAATAATATTCTTACTATCTACATGTAGATCCTCTCATTGTCAACCACCTGACCCGTGTCATCCCGTAAGATTCCTATTGCCAACTTGAGTACTTCATCCCATGCCCCTTTTCTGCCATCAAAAGCTGTTATTGTCTTGTTTGATTTCATGGACTGGGAGCATTAATGGGTCATTACAACCACTCTTTATGTGTTGATGCAAAAGTCATGGTGTAAAAAAAACTGCCCAATCATTGGTGAACATGTTGCTGTCAATTCTGTGGGACATAGCAACAATATGACCTGCCAAAAACAACCTTAATTTTAGCTTTTTATTCTAGACTGAGTTTAGAGCAACCTTAAATTTAAGGTGGCTCTGATCCCATACTACAGAATTTTTTTAAGCTTTGCAAAAAGTTGCATCTTACCATGCTTATCATATTTCGATATAAAAAATGGGGGTCAACAAGATTGTTTTTGAGTTACAAGCACTTAAAGCTAAAATTAGGGGTGTTTTTAGCAGGTCATATTGTTGCTATGGTAACCTGTTATATATAAAGATGCCCAAGGTGAGGTTGTTTTCTGGCAGAAGAAGTTTCATAATACAGGCTATCCGATTTGATCTCCCAGTCATAAGCCTGAAATTTTGATTTACTCAGATGCTAGTGATTCTGGTTAGGGTGGATTTGCTGTTCAGTTTGGGGGACAAGCAGCAGTAGGAAGTTGGTGAGTTGATGAGAGTAACAAGACTTTCACCTTTGAATTTTATTGCTGACCAGCTGTTGCGGATCGAAGATTCGAATGACTATATACTCGATCCTTCCAGTTTTGCTTACTTGGACAGGTGTTTGGGTCCTCACACAGTTCACTCACTCACTCACTCACTCACTCACTCACTCACCTGAAGTGCGGCACCTCATCCGAAAAAAGTAGTTTTAAAGCGATACAAGAAAAGTAAAACGCTCAAGCGCAAGCAAAAGCTTTGGACGCTAAGTTGGCAAAGTAAGTTACTTATATGAATGAAATTAAACATCAACAGTGCTTGGCAAAAATCAAGTCTAGTTTTAAAGATAATCCAAAACTGTTTTAGAGTTATCACAAAGCTTTCCTAGGCAAAAGGTCTAGTGTAAAGTGGGCGACACAGCTGAAAAACCAGGAGGCTGAGTGAAAACTGAGCTTTTGAATAAGTACTTTTCCTTTGTCTTTCGACCTGCCTCAGATGTAAATATTGATCGCATTTGCATTTCTGATCTGCAACTCTTGGACATTGTGGTATCTGTTGACGAAGTGCATGATCACTTGAAATGCTTTGACACCTTGCAAGCAAGTAGCCTTGATGGAATTCTCGCCTGTCTTCTCAAAGAGTGTTGTGATCAAATTGCACCAAGTCTTTGTGCTATTTTCAATCAGCCGCTTGATTACGCCAAACTCCGAAGCGAGTGGAAATCTGCTGACATTGTACCAGTCCATAAAAAGGACTCAAAGAAACCAGCTGAACACCATCGTCTTATATCTTTACTACTGATTGTTAGCAAAGTTCTTGAATGCCGTGTCTTCAATTGCCTTTATGACTATCTAAAACACCTGATAACTGACCTTCAGCATGGGTTTGGAAAAATCGATCATGTCTGGCCCAGTTACTTTCAATTCTCTATGATATCGGGCTTAATCTAGACAAGAACATCAAGGCCGATGTGATCTACTTAGATTTTGCAAAGGCGTTCGACAGTATAGATCGCAAAATTCTTCTTCTTAAACTGAACGTGTATGGGATACCTGGTAAACTACTATCGTAGCTCACTAATTATTTTTCTGGCTGTATTCAACAAGTAGTTCTCGAAAGTGTTTTGTCACAATGGGCCCCTGTCATGCCTGGAGTGCCCCAAGGGAGTCTTCTAGGGGACCGTTCATTTTTTATAAGGTAGGGGGGGCTGGTGGGATTTGGGGGGGGG